AGATAGAGATAATAAATATAATAATGAAAGTAAATATAACTATGATAATAAATATAATAAATAAAATAATGATAAACTTTATAATAATGAAAATAAATATCACAATGATAGCTGTGATAGTAGTGAAATCAGTGAAAACGGTGATCACGATTTTCCTGGTGATCATTGGTAACGTTAATTGGCGCAGTCATTTAGTTGCGTAAACAGATTATCACTAACAATATCAAGCATGGTGTGTTTAGATACCAACGGTCGTATTGAAAATATAATTCGCCCTAAGAAATTCTTAAGGAATTTTACACATATAAGCTCGATTACTATAATAAGAGAAAGGTTCGTATTTATATTAATATTATCATTATCTTATTAATAACTAGTTAGTATCTGCTGCGTTGTAGCAGGTTAAGAAAATAGAAACATTAGTAATTGAAGAATTTTTAGGATTTTTTTTTATTTATTAAGTTATGTATAATATAAAAAGTTTTTTTTTAATGATTAAGAGATAAAATGTATAATTATATATTTGAATTAAATTATAATGTATATTTTAGAATAAAAAAATTAAAAAAAAGAAATCCTATAATATGATATTTATAATTTATTTTATTTTTCTATTTAGGATTTAAGTACTTTATTATTTCTTGTTTGATAAGTTTTATCATTATCTATAAAAACTCTAATATTTTAATATAAGGTTATAGTTAATCATATAAAAAAATAGGTTCAGAAAGATAAATATTAACTTGATTTAAAGTTATTGATCTTTATTATGATAAAACTTTAATTACATTTATTATCTCTTGTTATTTAAACTGATTATTTTAAATTATAAATATATATCCAAAATCGTAATAATGATATTAGATTTTGAAAAACTTTAAAAATGAGACAATAAATATTTTGAATAATAGTACAAAAAATAACATTATAAATTTCATATTTTGTATTTTATTAAGAGAAAAGCTTAATAGAAAAAAAGCTTGCTGTAGTCTTAAACATAAACAAAATAAATCCAGTAAAAATATAGTAAATTCTAAATTATAGTAAAACAGACATTAGGTTGACTAAAGAATAGATTCTAATTATTAAAAAATTATGGACTAAAAACACTAAAATAGTAACTGATTTAATAGAAATTTCATTAGTTTTACACAATTTAATAAAGAGAAATGTAGATGAATAGAATCTTTAGAGCAAATAATAATGGATAGTATACAATATAATTATAAAAATTTATGAAGATCTCTATTATTATAATCATTTTAGTTGAATAACCAAATATTCTATAGTCAAAATACCTTCTGAACTAAATGTCCTTCATAAAATTTGATAAGTTTTTGTCTAATGAAAAAGGTAGTTGATTAGTAAAATTTATTAGTCTTAGATTTATTATAAATAATAATGAAATCTAAAATAAATAATGTAACTGTTTGTATAAAGTGCTAACGATTAAGACAATACCTTTATATAGAACAATAAAAAAACCAGAATGATAAAATAGAATGATAAAAAAAAAATAGAACAATAAAAAGAAATAGATCGATAGAAAAAAAAGAAAAAATAAAATAAATAGATAAAATAGAACAATAAAAAAAATAGAACAAAAAAAAAATGAAAATGACAGTTTTTCCAATATTTAATTAAAAAATTTACGATTTTAAAAAAATTACTAAAGTTAAAATTATTTTTTTTTAAAAAAAAATAAAAGAGTAATTAATTTAATTAATTAACTAATAAAATTTAATTCGTAACAAGTAATTAAATTTTAAGAATCCTGATATCTTTATAAAACTATTTCCATTTTTCTAACGTTATTATCCTCTTTTAGCTTTACATTATAAAACTAATATAACTAAGAAATCGAAAATATGAAAATTTAGATCGGCGAACTTAATTTCGTGAAATTTCAAAAAAATCCGTATCGTTATTGAACTTAATTTATATGACATCCCTCTTTAACCCTTTTCCCCACACTGTATTTCCAAGAAGCGACGTTTTAATAAGATAGTTATCGGAGTATTTTCACAGTAAAGAGTACTTAAGGAGTTAGGTAAATCTGAAAAGCTAGTTAAAGGAGTATTAAAACAGTTAAGAATTCTAAGGGAGTTAGGTAAAAGTGGCAAGATAGTTAATTTAGTATCGGAACAGTCAAGAAAAGTTAAGGAATCAGGTAAAGGTGGTAAGCCAGTTATGAGAGTAATAGAACAATTAAGAAACTCTAAAGAGTTAGGTAAAATTGGTAAGCTAGTTATTTGAGTTTTATTGCACTCGATTTTGTCAAAGAGTCAGGTAAAGTTGGTAAGATAGTTATTTCAATATATTCAAAGATGAGTGTTGTTAATTTTCGATATCTTAATAATCCTCCTGGGGTGTTTAAGATGTCATCTTTGTTAGTTTTTGTGATAGTTAAACTATCAATAGTATCATCATAAGTAACGATTTTTAAAACATTGATTATTTCTTGCTTGGCTCTGGTTTCTTCCTCTAATTCTTTTAAACTTATCTTCAAAATTTTTAATAGTTTCTTGCTTAGCTCTTGCTTTCCTCTTCTAGTTCTTTAGCCTTATCTTCTAAATCGATAATAGCTTGATTTAATTTGAATTTACCATTTCTTTTAAATCTTCAATAGTTTTTTGCTTGGTGATAGATTCTTCTTGTTCTTTAATCTTGTTTTCTAAATAATTCATAATTGCTTGCTTGGTTTTGGCTTCTTTTTCTTGCTCTTCAATCATTTCTTCTGAATATTTGAATTTAGAACTTAAGTTTGATAATTCATCATTTAAGATTTGACCATCTTGCTTTCGGTCGACAAATTCTGTTAATATTTCGGTAAGTTTCTTTTCTGATAATAATTCTCTTAAATTATTTAAATCATTACTGTCTATTTCATTCGATAAAATGAAGAGTAGCAATTGATTTTCCTCGTCAGCTTTCTTTTTACTCTGCTCTAAATTGTTAATTCTTTTTTCAAGTCTTTCAAGTTTTTTCAGGGTTGTTTTTTAAAACCATTTTATTTCTTCAATTTATGCAATTATTCAAGACGAATATTTTATTTTATAATTTTTAGATGTAATAATAATGAAGATTGGTAACTTCCCCTATTATCGGAGTTTTATTAACGGTATAATCACAAATTTACTTTCAAATTGAAAGTTCTGTGCCAGTACTACCAAAATTCATTTAGCTTGCATATATCAACTGTACAATAAAATATTGAAATGAAAAAAAAACTGAAACTTTGAAGCATAAAGGTTGAATGGTCGCAAAGGAAATAATTGGTAAACGTAGCAATCGTCATTGGTAAAAATTATTTGTCGAGATACTTTAAAATCATTGTGTTCCATGCCGCCACTAATATTTAATTGTAACTTGTCTTATAGTTAGTTGGCAGCCATTCAAAATTACGCTGAATATTAAATATTCTTTAACCACGCCAATGTTAACTGAAACTCATTAGCAGAATTGTGATAAATGGGCAAGCATCAAATTCATACAATTGAAAAGGTGAAAAATAAAATAGATTATTGTATTATTATTTTTTTTTAATTATCCTCTTTGTATTTCCAATACTAATTAGCATTACCAATTACAGATATTTGATATTTGCCAACTCTTTTTCTATTATTGTTTCTATAAGATTCCAAGCATAATTGAAAGATAACTTTCAACCGACAGGAAGCTTCAACACCGAAGGTATATTTCTATTATTTACTTTCATTTTTATATTTTCATTTACTTTTTAACACTAGAATTATCCATTTTCTTTATAAACATAAACATAACGACCTGAAGTTTTCCGAGATATTTCTTTGGTGTAACGAGAAGTTTTGCCTATGGACAAATAAACCGGTTACCAGTCTATCCAGCTTTATTTCCTGTCAAGAAATTGTCAAAGCGGTATTGATGGACCAGTGGTCTTTGAAGTATAACCTAGGAGGTCATTTTACCAAGTTATCGGGCGTTTTGCCTATGGTTATTTAATATCCGGTTGTACACATAAATGAAAATACTGTACTGTGATGGACGGCATTGCGAAATGAATTAATGCCATTCAGAGCCATTTTCAGGTAATAGCTACCGATAGTTATGTCATACTTTTGTGAAAACAGGAGACATGGAATCACTTTTTTGTTAAAAGTATTTTATTTATTAAAATAAGTTAGTTAATATTTTATTCTTTTTTATTTCCTACGAAAAATTTTAATAATCAAGTTTTCAAGCCAAATGCAAAAAAACGCATATAAGTTTATTATGCATGCTTTACTGTAACCATGTTTTCATCAAATGCAGATGGTGACCTTGGCGAAAATCCCTCATTTAGGCGAAAATACCTCATATAATAGTTGGGTGTTTTTCATTGTGCAATACAGATCAAATTTTTTAAAAAAAATGACGTAAACCGAACTAAATTCCGTGTGAATTTATATGTATTTTTTTCTGTTCTGATCATTGATATAGATTTTGCTTATCGGCGAAAATTAAATCAAATTACTAAATTTCCTCATATAAACATGATATCTCATTTGCTCTTTGTATCACTTATTTGTTTAAGTTTCAAAATTTGTTGCCATATAATGTACCAATTACAAAAATATTACACCCCTCTTTCACCCAAATTTCCATTAAGAAGTTCTTCTCAAAAACAAAGAAAAAAATATCCAAATTTCATCTCTTCTAACACAATATAACAAAATGTCTTTGCTCTTGTGGAGAAGTCTGTATTCAACCCGTTAATAATAATATCAATTCTGAAGTGAAAATGGGTAAATATCTTTTGTCATTATGAATTTTTGAAAAATTAAGTTTTTAAATGCATTGAAAAATTTTATAGAACTTGCACATGTGGAGAAGGTTGCGAGTGCTCAACTAGCGACTGTATTACCTTTTACATTTTTAAATTGGAAAGTCATAAAGACTTTATCTTATTCACATCACAATAACGATATTAATTTTTATAATATTTTTTTTCTTAATTAAATTATTTTATTAAATTATTTTATTTTTCATGACCTATTATGTATTTTCGTAATAAATATATATACTTCGTTAAATAAATAAAATCATTCAATATATCTATAAAATCATGTAATTCGAAAAAATAATATCTTATGCCAAATCAAAACGTATAAAAATTAAGTTATTTGACTTCTTTTTTATTAAAAAATTAAACATATTGCAAAAAAAAAAAATTTGTTTTATATTTTTATTAATGAATAATTGAACTGATTACACATCACCTAATGCTAAATGGAGGTGACTAAGTCTCGCAAATAATTTCACTGAGACAGATAAATCAATAATTAAGTAAAAATAAAGTTTTCAGCTTAGTTACTTTAATTTCTTTATTTAATTATATAAACATCTATTATATGTTGGAATATGAAATATTCTAAATTATATATATATATAATTTGACAAAAAAAAAGATTGGTTAAAACATCTCACCGATGAATATATGGGTCCTTTGCAATAGAAAGGGAGAAACGGCTGGAAAAAATATAATGAGTTAATGCTAAATCTGAACATATTTTGACCTAAAAATCATATTTGGCATATAAAAATAAAATTGATTTTTTTCGCCCTTTCTATTGCAAAGGTCCCATATATTATATAACAAAGCAAATTATAAATGAAATATACTTATTTATATGTTTTATTTATTTATATTACACATTTTTTCTTTCATATTCATTTTTTAAAATCAACTTAGATAAATAAAAAATTTTTTAATTTTAGTTATCATTTGATTTTTTTTACGTCACATATCAAAACGTATATATAAAAACAAAATTAACTTATACTATTTTTATTTATTTAATATATGAGATGATTTCTTGGCTTGGAATCAGGTTTCGACTAAAATTAAGAGCTTAAGGTACTTTAATTTAATATCATCAAAAACTAAAAATCTCAATTTTGTTAAAAATTTACGGAACCTAATTTTCCTAGCAATTAACTCAAATATTTAATACAAAAACTAATTTATCTCTTATTTTTTTTAATGTACTTTTTAGTTGAGCTCTTCGAAATTTATTTTCCTAAAATAAAGTCCTGTAATAAAAACAACTTCGGTATTTCTCCTAAGTTTAATACAGTCTGGTTTTAATTATTTTAAGCCCAGAAGCTCTATATGTAACTTCATCAATGGTCAAGGTGCCTTATATATAAAGCTTCAATGAATGACCGCGCCTAAAGTGCCAGCTTAACCATACTCATAAGAATTCATCTAATAGTAGTTCGTTGGATGATGGTATGAATAACTATTTTTCTCTTTCTCGTCAGACCTTTCGGACCTGTAGAATATAATGAAAAAGAAAATGTTAGAGGAGAGTATCAAAAAGAAGAAAAATGAAAGAACTTACAATAAAATGTAAAAACCACTAATGACAACGATGGGCAAAGGATAAATAATAAAAATGTGATCATTGTTTCCTCGACGAAAGAGACCAACTCCTCGAAGGAAACTTCACGTTTAATTAATTTATTTTATCTAGTAAGGCAACTTCTTTTTTAGAGGTGAATAAGCAAATTTTGGAAGCGTCTGTATCCAACATACTAAGCCGTCGCTCTTAGCTTAATACAAGAATACCGCCAGAAGAATGCTTCTCTCATTTAAATTTCAACCCTTGTACCACATCGTCAATACAAAAACAGTATTAGGGAAGGTGACATCTTAAAGGAAATATATCAAAGATACTTCCCATAAAAATAATAATACAGGTCGCCAATAATCGATCATTATAATGGTATGGTAAGTGTACCTAAAATAAGAGAAAGTTTTTTTTTATTGATTAGAGAAGCTCCGAAACTCTAAGTAATTCTGTGCGCATGTGTTCTAAACAAAGTTAATGAGAATATACTCTAATGAAACTTGATTACACATGGGTATCAATTAAAGGATGTCTAGAAAACCTTGAATAATTAACGCATCTGATGTAAGCATGGGTATGAAACTTACCTCTTTGATTATAGTTGATGTTACCACGGAAATATCTTGTCATCGTTGTTAGAAAAGCGTTTTAAGGTAATTAATGATGAAAGAATACTTGCAGAAATATTTCTTTTTTTGTCCAAAGTGTAAACAAGAGTTATGATATATCGTTCTACTTTTTCTTGTTAAAAAACAAAGAGTTGGAAGAGAAAGGAGAGATTTTTCGTTTTAGCGTAAAAAAGTATAAAATTTTATTTATTTGATCGTGCGAATAATATGGGGCATGAAGATCATGCTGTTTTTAACATCTAAAATACCATTTCCTTGTTTGAAAAGTGACTCTAATATGTGAAATGTTCAATTTATGAACGAACATTACAACGCTATTATAATATTCATTACTTTTATTGGTTTAATTTAAGCAATTGATTTAGTAATAATATAGAATTGTTAAATTCAACAAAAGGCTATTTTGATTTTGTGAAACCAAATTATTACATATATCACCAAATTTATATATTGGTCAGGAAAAATACAATTCCGAATTTTTTAAAAAATCAAGTTATTAACACTTAACAAAAAACTTTTTTCACGATCATAATTAAATATACAATATAAATATTAAGTATGTAAAAATAAAAAATTAAAGGATATTTTTTTTTTAATTTACTGAGATAAATTTTATCTACTTAGAAAAATTAAATCGATTTTTTTCTGAAAATAAGGAGATATTGGACAGCGATTTGGATTTTATTTCTAATAACTATTCTTCGAAAGAACTGAATTGATCTTATCAAGGTATTTCGTTGTATTTGCAATAAGCAATATTATTGGTGGAATTTTCTGAGCGGAGCTCAGCAAATTCCACTTGATCATATTCTTATTGCAAATACATGTAAGCACGGCAGTGCCGCAGTTACGAGGCCAAGTAGTAGTAACCGTTTTATCGGTTTAAACAAGATGGTTTAATTTAAATTTTTATGTCTTTTTTTTTAACTTTTATTAAACCATTTTCCCATAAAAACAAATGATGTTTCTTTTTTTCTTTTACACGTCTTGTTTTTCCCCCAAAAAAATTTTTTCCTTTTGATGATAGTCATTTGTTCTGCGTCATATCACAAATAAAAGAAAGTGACGATAGTTAAGAAATTTATAAAAATTGCACTTTCAATAAATAAATTAATAATTAGTTATTAAACTATACAATTTGACATAATAACAAAATAATTATTAGTAACTAATTGTACTAGCAAAAATCATCAAATAGTAAATTATCGATAAATCTTTTTACTCACAGATGTCTTTATATTTGAAATACAAGTACTAAATAACTATATAATTTACTTAAATTTTCTTAGTTTATTATTTAGCATACTTTTTTTGAATACGTAAAGTTAACAATCAAATTACAAGCAAAAATATACTTACCAATTTAAATAAACATTCTGAAAAGATAATGCCGCTGTTGTCTATGAAGTAATGTGAAGTCAAAGCATTTCTCAGCTCTAAAATGATTAATGCAACATGCAAAAATCTCTTTTTAAACTATTTATATTACATTTGAATTATCTAAAGATGAATGTACCTGTTGTACCCAAATGCATCGATATCTAAAATGTGCATTTGGGATATCCCAAATGCGAAGATCGTTTGAGATATTCACTTGCCTTAAATGCATATTTATCCAAATGCGTATTTCAAATATTCCAAATGCACACAATTTAAACAATGTCCCAAATTCACATTTCAGATAATATCTAAATATACATTTCAGATATCCCAAATGTGCATTTTGAATAATGTTTCAAATGCACGTTTTAGATAATATACTAAATACGCATTTCAGATAATATCTAAATGCTCATTTTAGATATCACAAATGAGCATTTAGTATATTCTAAAAGACCAATTCAGACTCATTTCAGATTGTTCTAAATGATCACTAATGATTTGACAGACTTGTGATTTATATTTTATTTATATTAAATATTTATATTTATAAAACTCATTTTATTTAAATTATTAATAAAAATGTAAACAAACTTTATATTGGCATTTAATATCTAAAATGTGCATTTGAAAAATATCCAAAATACGCATTTAGGATAACTGAAATATACATTTAGGATA